GAAGCAAAGGAGATGGGTTTACCAGACAATCTGACCTGCTTCTTGAGAAATCTGTATGCAGGTCAGGAAGCAACAGTTAGAACTGGACATGAAACAACGGACTGGTTCCAAATAGGAAAAGGAGTACGTCAAGGCTGTGTATTGTCACCCTGCTTACTTAACTCATATGCAGAGTACATCATGAGAAACGCTGGGCTGGAAGAAGCACAAGCTGGGGTCAAGATTTCCGGGAGAAATATCAATAACCTCAGATATGCAGATGACACCACCCTTATGGCAGAAAGTGAAGAAGAACTAAAAAGCCTCTTGATGAAAGTGAAAGAGGAGAGTGAAAAAGTTGGCTTAAAGCTCAACATTCAGAAAACTAAGATCATGGCATCTGGTCCCATCACTTCATGGCAAATAGATGGGGAAACAGTGGAAACAGTGGCAGACTTTATTTTTTTGGGCTCCAAAATCACTGCAGATGGTGACTGCAGCCATGAAATTAAAAGACGCTTACTCCTTGGAAGGAAAGTGATGACCAACCTAGAGAGCATATTAGAAAGCAGAGACATTATTTTGCCAACAAAGGTCCATCTAGTCAAGGCTATCGTTTTCCCACTGGTCATGTACGGATGTGAGAGTTGGACTATAAAGAAAGCTGAGTGCTGAAGAATTGATGCTTTTGCACTGTGGTGTTGGAGAAGACTCTTGAAGAGTCCCTTGGACTGCAAGGAGATCCAACCAGTCCATCCTAAAAGAGATCAGTCCTGGGTGTTCATTGGAAGGACTGATGTTGAAGCTGAAACTCCAATACTTTGGCCACCTGATGTGAAGAGCTGACTCATTGGAAAAGACCTTGATCCTGGGAAAGATTGAGGGCAGGAGGAGAAGGGGACGACAGAGGATGAGATGGTTGGATGGCATCACTGACTCAATGGACATAGGTTTGGGTGGACTCTGGGAGTTGGTGATAGACAGGGAGGCATGGAGTGCTGTGATTCATGGGGTCGAAAAGAGTCGGACACAACTGAGCGACTGAACTGAACTGATACAAGCTTGCTGTGTGCTAAGCTATTCATGGGATTCTCCAGGCAAGAATACTGGAGTGGGTAGCCATGCCCTCCTCCAGGGGATCTTCCCGAACAAGGGATGGAGCCCGTGCCCATTAGGTCTCCTGCACTCGCCGGTGGGTTCTTTAACACCAGAGAAACTTGGGAAGCCCTGCACGAACTTGGGACTTGGTGAAAATGTCTGTAGAGACTGAGCTTTCTTGAATTGATATCTCTACAGAAAAGCCAAAAGCTAGGTAGGAATATGACTTTCTTACCAAAACTCACTTTTAAAAATATTCTTATTTTTCTTGAAATAGAAATGGATAAGATAACGTTTCATAAGCCAGGGAAAAGATGCAGTTTATGATTCCTAAACTAAAATATCACTGTGCAGAAAAGAGAAGTAAATGATGAATATCCATGATGATCATTTTTATGAAAACTTAGGTTCAAGAAGATACTGAATTTTATTCAGGATTAGTCTTTTTTTTAAAAAAAGGAAAGGGTAGTTATTAACTGCAGAGATTAACAGGAAAGGTTTATTTCTGTGCTTTATTCTGTATAAACACAACGTGATTATGCTTTCTGTTGTGAATTTCAGTAAAACATGATTTAAGACTACAGCAAGGGTGCCATTAAAATGTGAATATTAACTTTCCAATAATTTCTAGAAATTGAAATGGAATCTGTTTGGCACTAACATGACAGTTTGACACCAACGAAAATACTTTATGTAGTTATGTAAGTGATAAAAATAAATGTTTTATAGAAACTTATCCAGAAGGACTTACAACTAGGAAAAACAATCATAATTAACAAGATTTCATAAAGTACGCAGCTGCCAAAGATAACTTTTAGACCAGCTGAAGGTGATGAGGTCATTGCTGGTCCTAAGTTCATAAGATCTGAGCACCTGTAGAGATTCTTTTTAAAAGCACTTAAAAGAATTAATTTTCCAACCATAGACAGGCTGATGGTCTCCCTCTTTTATGTGACTGTGTATTGTGCCAAAGTAATGGAATTGAATGCATGCTTCAAATTTGCTAGCAGCCGTTCCTATGGTGCAGAAGTAAACGTGTAAACTCTATCCGAACCAGCTGGAAAAAAAGACATGAATCTACTATTTCTGAATTTATTATGGAGCCTAGATTTTGTTTCCAGGATAGAATGTGTCCAAAGCAACAAAATTTAAGAAGAGAGTTGTGAAATCATCCAGTAGATGAGTAACCATGTTGACAATTCAACTGGCTAATGCAAATAGACCTGTACTGGCAGGTAACCCACTGCTTACTGCACTGGCTGTGCAGTACTGAATTCTTTTTAACATTTTTAACCAAGATTGTTATACCATGAGAATATTAACAACAGCAATGTCAGCAGGGCAAAAACCAGCTTTGTCAAGCATACACGTGCTCAGTCGTGTCTGACTCTTTGTGACCCTGTGGACTGTAGCCCACCAGGCTCCTTTGTCCATGGGATTTTCCAGGCAAGAATACTGCAGTGGGTTGCCAATTCCTAAATTTATAAGGCATACTGAGGATTACTAAATCAATAATAATTATGATAATAGTAATATAACAGAAGGCATTTCATTAACATGCTTATCTTTCAACTCTACATTTAACTGTCATTTTCATTAAAATATTTAAAATTACACTTCTAACCAAATACATATACACACACCCTTTATATATATATATACACACATGTATATATATTTATATATAATGTTTCACAGTTCGCTTTTTTATTTTTATTTTTTTAACTGGAAGGGGGATAAAGTTTATATTAATTCATTTGTAAAGGGTTATTTGATATATTTCATTAATTCTGTTAATTTTAAATATTGCACAGTTTGCTTTTTTAAAAGCAGTTTTAGATTCACTGAAAATTGAATTGAAAGTACACAGTTTAAATATATTTAATGTATGAAACTGAAGCTGAAGCTCCAATACTTTGGCCACCTACGCCAAGAACTGACTCGGTGGAAAAGACCCTGAGGCTGGGAAAGATTGAAGGCAGGAGGAGAAGGGGACAACAGAGGATGAGATAGTTGGATGGCATCACCAACTCAACGGACATGAGTTTGAGCAAGCTCTGGGAGATGGTGAAGGACAGGGAAACCTGGTTCCTGCAATTGGTGGGGTCCCAAAGAGTAGGACACGACTGAGCTACTGAACAAAAACCAAATGCATGTGTATACATTGCAACCCCTGATCCATTCTGGGTTGAATCCCAGGAAATTTCTGTAAAAGAAAAAGCTATGTTTAAGAAAATTAATTACAGTGATGTTCATAATGGTGAAAACCTGAAGAAAACTAAACATTTACCAATTGATATTTATCTATTCTGGATAGAAATTGTTTTATATTTTCAAAGAATAAGAAAACCATATGGCAATTAAGAGGAATAAACTAACTTTGTACATCAAAATTAAAATCTTAATGTTGAATGAGAAGGAAATGTGAAGAAAAATATGTTCAACCTGTTACCAGTTATACAAATATGAAAACACATACACAAGATGTCGTCTATGAATGCATGAATAAAAGTTTAAAAACATAGGTTAGATGAATACCAAATCCATGAAAAGAAGTTACTTTGGATTGAGGATTACAAAATGGAACCGAAGGTGAGTACAGAAAAACACCCAATTCACTTGTAATATTTTAATTCTCATATTTTAAAACTATTTTAAGGAAACATGAGAAAATACTATTATTTGTCAATTCTGGGTGGCAGATATTCAAGGTTTTTAAAAACACTTTCCAAGTACTTCGTATTTTTATTTGTCAAATTTAAAACACTAGATGTCAATGTTTTATTGAGAAAGAAATTTCAAAAGTTGACTCAAAAAGACTGCAAATACCTGAATAGTTTAAAATCTATAGAAGGTCGCCCCAAACACCAGAGAATATCCACTGAAAAAGGCACCAAGCCCAACTGGTTCTATGGGTAAGTTTTCTATATTTCAGAAATAATGTCCTACGGAACCCTAACCCTGATACAAAACAGAGCTAGTTCATTAGCACTCCAAATTCAGCAGTGCATTTTTAAAATACTTTTATTTGTTTACTTCTAACTGCACTAGGTCTTCATTGCAGTGTAGTTGCAAGGAGTGGCTACTTTCCAGCTGTGGTGTAAGGGGCTTCTCACGTCCCTGGCCTCTCTGGTTGCAGATCAACAGCTCTAGAGCTCGGACTCAGTAGTGGTGGTGCTTGAGGGGGAGGGTGGGTTGTAGTCGTCAGACACGTGGAATTGTCCCAGAGCGGGGATATCACGTCCCTGGCCTCTCTGGTTGCAGATCAACAGCTCTAGAGCTCGGACTCAGTAGTGGTGGTGCTTGAGGGGGAGGGTGGGTTGTAGTCGTCACACACGTGGAATTGTCCCAGAGCAGGGATCCAATCCAAGGAAGTCCCAGCAGTGTATTAAATGAAAGAAAAACGCATCCTCTTGCACGAGTGAGGTTTATAAAAAGAGAACATTCATGATACACCACCATCAAGAAGGCAATTTTTGTAATATTACTAAAAAGTGAAATAAGGAAAAAAATCTTAATCTAAAGGCTCAAGACTGAACGTTCAACTGATGGAAAAGAAAAAAAATCGTTAAACTTGGTAACCATTCTATTATGGATTTTTTCGAATCCTTGCAAACGGAATAGAAGAGAACTTCTAAATATAAAGAAAGAAAACATTCTCCTTAGTCAAAAACAACAGAGGCTGCGTCTCCCCAGCGCTAGGCCATATAATAAAATAAAATATAACATTCGAAAGAAGGAAACAAACGTGAGCAGTTGCAGATTATCCAACTGTCTAATTAGCAATGGAAAGACACCCGCGGACCAGCCCTATACGGGAGGCTGCTCGCCGCCCCTGCTGTCCCGCCCCCAGGGCCAGGCCCGCGCCCTTGCACGTACGCATGCGCAACTTTGGCGCACGCGCGCCGGCGGAGGAGGAAAAGATGGCGGCGCCCAGCTTCCCCACGCCGCTGTACGGGCATGTGGGCCGCGGCGCCTTCAGCGACGTGTACGAGCCCGCGGAGGACACTTTTCTGCTGCTGGACGCACTCGAAGCGGCGGCGGGCGAACTCACGGGGTGCGAGGAGGGCGAGGGTTCCCGCGGGAGAGGGCTCGGGAGTCCTGGAGAGGCGGCGGCGCAGGACCAAGGCCAGGACTGTCGCCGCCCTCCCCGCGAGGAGGCGGTGTCGGCCCACTTGGGGACAGCTGACACCAGAATAGTGTAACTGAGGATTTTGCCGTGGATGCACATAATCAGTGCGTCAGGGAGCTATCCGCTTTCTTCCCAAGGTGGTGTTTTGGTTTCAGGGGCTCTGTGTTTCCTCACCTTTTCAGGATGTAACATTTCCTATCAGCTGTTAATCTGAAGAGCCTAAAGAGTGGCGGTGTTATAACACGTTCAAAAACAAAACGTCCTGAGAACGCTGCGTCTCAATATTACCGTTTTTAGTAAATATCAGTGCCCCATGGCATTATTGAATCTACGCAGTACATAAAAGCATCCTCCAGCAATGGAAGGGCACAAAAAAGAAATGAAGTTGTAAAATACTGGACTAGGGGAGTATGTTTAAACCCCCTGGATAGCATACTCAGCTACCCAGCAAAAGCCTGGCCACGTGTGGCTACTGAGCACTTGAAATGTGACTAGCACTGAATTTTTAATTTAATTATAAAAAATTTAAAGTTACATGCAGCTAGCTGCCTATAGAATATACCCTAGCTCATAATAAGTATTAAAATTGATTTGTTGAAGCGCTTATATAGGTTTTAATTTAATATAAAAAGTGAATACTTCGTCATTTTTTAGATGAAAGCAATTTGGGTGGTTAGATTTAATTAATTTGGGCTTCCCGGGTAGCTCAGCTGGTAAAGAATCCACCTGCAGTGCAAGATACCCCTTGCTTCAATTCCTGGGTTGGGAAATCCCCATGGAGAAGGGATTGGTTACCCACTGCAGTATTCTTGGGCTTCCCTGGTGGTTTAAATGGTAAAGAATCCCCCTGTAAAGCGGGAGACCTGTATTCCATCCCTGGGTTGGGAAGATTCCCTAGAGGAGGGCATGGCAACCCACTCCAGTATTCTTGCCTGGAGAATTGCCATGGACAGAGCAGCCTGGTGGGCTACAGTCCGTGGTGTCCCAAAGAGGGTCCACACAACTAAGCACACAGCACGCACAGATTTAGTTAGAGATCAAAAGTTGAAATGGGGTTTTTTTCAGGATGAAACAAACAGCTGTCAGGCTTAGAAGGTCCAAATTGTGTTTGTTTCTCTCTCTTGGTCAGATTTTTCCGTGTATAAATTGCCCCAACTCTTATTAAACCAATTTTTCATTGTAAGCATTGAAACTTTTGAATCTACTGGAATACAGAATGGAACAGTACTGTTTTTTGCTTTTTTTTAACAGTACTGTTTTATAACATGTCTTTTATTATCAAGATATCCCAGAAAGATTTTAAAGCACAAATTGCCTTGCTGTAAAAGGAACTGTTTTTATTTTAAAGTCTTGGGTATTTCTGGTCATGGAATTCTAGTTATTTATGAGGCCATGATAGTTATTTTCAAATAGAAGCTTCCTGGTAAGATTCAACAGACCTTCCTACAGCACAGTAAAGGCTTGTCAGATGTACAGAACAGTCCCAGAAGTTAGAAACCCCTAGAGTCTGTTGGTTTTGAATAGTTCATTTGGGAAGTTAGGTGCTAGAGTGCCCCTTAAATACCATCAAACCTATTTCTGGAATGGGGATAATTTGTACTTTTACTGTAAATACAAGATCATGTTGTTGTTGTTTAGTCACTAAGTCATATCCAACTCTGCAACCCCTGGTCTGTAGCCCGCCAGACTCCTCTGTCCGTGGGATTTCCCAGGCAAGAATCCTGGAGTGGATTGCCATTTTCTTCTCTAGGGGATCTTCACAACCCAGGGATCAAACCCTCATCTCCTGCATTGGCAGGTGGATTCTTTACCACTGGGTCATCAGGGACGCCCATATACAAGATGATAGGGAAGGATAAGTATGGTAGAATCAAGAATTTATGTATTTAATTGCATTCTTGAGAGTGTTTTTAATATTCTAAGGTCAGATTACTTGGGTGTTTTCCCACTTCAGTGTAGTGATGTACAAATACGGAATTTCTCTGCTGCTTTCAGTCTATTATTAGTAGAAGAGGGGTGGGGGGGAGCTTCTTGTCTTCCCCTGGGATATGCTGATGGATTCATGAGTTACTTCAAAATGAGAGAAAATATCTTTTATAAATAAATATTGTAATAATACCTTTTTGTTTTTAGGAAACACCAAACTCGGAGCTCCTTCTGGGAAAAGCTGGTGTCTTCCATATTAATATTCCCAATCCTAAATTAACATTCCATTGTTTATGTAATGTTTTGTGAAAATTAAAAACTATCTATTATTTTGCAAACTCTAGTCACATACCCATAATTTCAACAGTTTTGAACAGTAAATGAGCACTAAGTGATTGTTGGAAATTAGCTTATTTATAAATTTCTTTTATATTTCCATGTATTTGCAGGTGAGGGACGATTCTGGGAAATAGACATTAAAAGTAGCATGAGTTATTTTCCATGATGTGTATTTTAATACCACTGTGCTAATATTTATTTTATTTTGTTTTTTTAGAGTGGAAATATGCCTCGAGGTTGGCTCAGGGTCTGGAGTGGTGTCTGCATTCCTAGCCTCTGTGATCGGTCCTCAAGCTTTGTATATGTAAGTGTAAGTATACACATTCATCCACACCTTGGTCTAAGAGAGTCACTGTGACTATGACTGCTTGAATGAAACCATTTTTGTTAAGTGGATAATATGTATCTGATAGTGTCTATTTTAAGTGTACTCAGGACTCTGATTACAAATTATGCCTCCCTAAAAGTGACAAATGCATGTTCAAAATTGTCCCATTATACTGCATAATTATAGAAGCCACATAATAATTTTAAGTCATCTCTAAATTTGAATCATTTTTAGATAAATAATTTATCAGAAGAAAATTGGAACATAATGTCTTTATAGAAGATTTGAGAATATAGAAAATATAAACAAGAAAATAAAAATCACCCATAAATTTTACCACACGTGGCCCAACTGTTTCCTCTTTTTCTTTCTTCACTTCCTATATTTTTTATTTAATACCTTATGATGAGCATTTTCCCTTTAAATTTCATTTTTGGTAGCTGCATAGTATTTCTCCATTGGATTCATTTTTTTTTTACCATTTATTTTTATTAGTTGGAGGCTAATTACTTTACAATATTGTAGTGGTTTTTGCCATACATTGGCATGAATCAGCCATGGATTTACATGTGTTCCCCATCCCGATCCCCCCTCCCGCCTCCCTCCCCATCCCATCCCTCTGGGTCTTCCCAGTGCACCAGCCCCGAGCACTTGTCTCATGTATCCAACCTGGGCTGGTGATCTGTTTCACCCTTGAGATTGGATCCATAATTTAATAAATTCCTTCAGATATGTTTGCATGTAGCTATATTCTACTCTTGGACTTTACATCAATATAACAAATTTTTTCATCAGCATGACAAATCTGAATTGTTTTTTTATTCACCATTAAAGTATTTCAATTTTTTTCTAAATCTACTTTATATATTCAAGGAGGAAGAAAGGACAAACTTTTTTACTTTTTTTCCTCTACATTCCTTAGGATTATATAACAATAATGTATCCTGCCTGAGGACAGTCTCTGGCTAATTCTGTTATCTTAAAACATAAATTATTGGAGTAGGTCTGGTCTTTACAAGGATGTATCCTGCCTGAGGACAATCTTTGGATTAAACCTTCTGGCCAACTCTGTTATCTTAAAATGTAAATTATGGGAGTGGGTCTGGTGAGGTCTTTGCAGCCTCCAGACATTCTTTGGATTCATTGGAGAGTATATAACTCCATTGCTAATACCAGCAAAGGGGTACTCTTTTGCCCCCTTCTGATGCCTATGTCAGAAGCTTTCTCTATCTCCATTATACTTTAATAAAACTTTATTACACACACACACACACACACAAAGAAGTGGAACATTCTTTGAATTTTTATCAATAGACATAGGGTATAGTTTTTTTTTTCTGTTTATAGGTGCACCGATGTCAACCCTGAGGCAGCAGCGTGTACCCTGGAGACGGCACGGTGTAACAAAGTCCACATTCAACCAATAATTACAGATTTGGTAAGCTGTTACTCCTTGTCCAGAAGTGTAATAATTAATTTTCTTTTCAATTAGGTTAAGGTCAAGATGATTTATGTCAAGATGTGATTATTTCATTAACTTTTAATGAAATAAAAGTGATTAGTTCATTAACTTTTAACCCAGTGCAGTACAGTGCATTTCAGTCGTTCAGTCGTGTCCGACTCTTTTTTAACCCACTACAGAAAGTAAATTCTTAACTGACCAATTCAGCTCAGTTCAGTTGCTCAGGCATGTCTGACCTTTGTGACCCCATGGACTGCAGCACGCCAGGCCCCCCTGTCCATCACCAACTCCCGGAGTTTACTCAAATCCATGTCCATTGAGTCGGTGATGCCATCCAACCATCTCATCCTCTGTCATCCCCTTCTCCTCCCAGCACCGCCGCAGGGAAAGAAACACTTTTGTTTCTTCAGTTTCTCTAGCAGAAACCCCAGACTGAGTACCATTTGTATCAACTTTGGTCATATGCCCATCTCTCGGTCTGTTACTGTGACCCACGGGGACTGGATATGCACGAGATTGACTTGAGCCTGAGTGGTAGTCCCACTCCCGCAGCTGGGTTGAAATACACCCTACCCTTACCACTCTGATTGAGAAGGAGCAGAGGTACAGTTTCCTCAACGAAAGTCAAGGAGACGTCATCAGGAGAAAGGCAGAATGGGTCCAAGGCAGGTAAAAACAACAGGTGACAACTCCAGAACCATTATTTTAAGTTACACATCATACATTTTTCAATTCCAGTTTTTAGAATATTTTTGATTATATGAGTAAGATTTAGATAATTTTGAACCTTTTTTTACTTATAAATGTTAATGACTTTTTTAAAGCGAAAATCATAATAGTATGTACAAGGTGGGCCTAAGGCATATAAAATGCGTTTGTGCTGTTTGGCCTGTATTACTCTTATACTGATAAGGTTTTGAGGTTTTTCTTTTTTTTTTTAACTCACAAATGATTTAAGGAATCAAGCCAAAGAGCTAAGAAATTTTGTATCACTAGAAGTCATCAGTGTCATTATTAAAAATTAGACTATCAAGAAAGATACTCAGTTGATTTACATGAAGTCAGTATGGTGATTTTGCTTTTGAAATTTTTTAATATGTCCATAATTAGTATTAAATATATGTTTTTTTGGTGTAACAATAAAACTTTAGAAATAGAAGAAATTCAGAGTGTCTGTTTTTGTTAACAGGTAAGGGACATTTTGAAAGTCACTAAACTAATACAATGATAAATCCAGAGTTTATGCCCAGATTGTCTGAATCAAAACCCAGAGGTCTCACAGCTTTTTGGAGGTGGAAGTCAGTTCTAAAGCTGTCAGAATCCATTCTGTCAATAGTGAAAGTTGGCCATGATACTCAGTGCTGACTTGTGGCAAAGAAAATAGGAAGGGGTAGGTATGAAGTGAAGTGAAAGTTGCTTAGTTATGTCTGACTCTTTGTGACCCCATGGACTGTACAGTCCATGGAATTCTCTAGGCCAGAATACTGGAGTGGGTTGCCCTTCTCTTCTCCAGGGGATCTTCCCAACCCAGGGATCGAACCCAGGTCTCTCACTTTGTAGGCAGATTCTTTACCAGCTGAGCCACAAGGGAAGCCCACTTTCAAAACTGTATTTGCTTGTATTCAGAACACTAGACATAGATTATCAAAACTATCAAAACTATTGTTTTGGATAATTGAGTTTGTTTACAAAGTTTACAAAATTTGTATTTCCTTTTTAGTTTTAGAAGGAAGTCTTTTTCAGATATGTCTTATGCACTTCCTTACATTCTTAAATTGAACATAATTTTACCTTTTAGTGATTCAGGGTCATTAATATGAATATCAGTCATCATTCTGTACTGTATGTGATGATGACAAGGCTTATTAGATTCTAAGTTTTTATTTTCTGCAGTGATTCTGAGTTTTTATTTTCTCTCCTCTTTGCCTTTTCACTTGATTTCTGTTGTCATATTTCACTGCTACCCATAGATTGCACTTCCTTTCTCTTTTCACATGCTTTGTGCTAGAAATGTGTGGATGTGTGCTAAGTCAATTCAGTCGTGTCCAACCCTGCGACCCTGCAGACTGTAGCCTGCTAGGCTCCTCTGTCCATGGGATTCTCCAGACAAGAATACTGGAATGGGTGGCCATGCCCTCCCCCAGGAGATCTTCCCAACCCAGGGATCGAACCCATGTCTCCTGCATTGCAGGCGGATTCTTTTACTGCTGAGCCACCAGGGAAGCCCTTGTGCTAGAATATCAAGCAATTAATTTAGTTAGATTTGTATTTAAACTAAGAGTTTAACAGTCCTGAATGAAAGACATTTTTCGTTTTGTTCTATAGAAAGTTGTATCAGTTCAAAGACTTAAAAGACACCCAACAACTTATGTTTTTAATGTCTCTTCCCACTATTTTTAGTTCTTTTTTCTTTGATATATAATTGTTTCAGCCAGTACTTTTACAAGTTACTAAAGAAGTAGAAAAGTACAGCCCCATCATCTGGTATTTTTGTCATTAATATATGTTTTCTGTCATCTTACAAAACATTTCCTTTAGTTGTAGAAAATAAGTATTTAAGTTAGCAGCTATAAATTTAAAGTTGTGTACAAATCTATGTAGAATATATGAGAGCTTGTCTCCTTATTTTATCTTCTAAAAGTGAGCACAGAGTGTAGCTATTGAAGCTATTGAAGAGCAGAGTGTTCATTTTGATAAATAGCTTATTTTCCTTTTTTTAGGTGGAAGCTTTCATTTTTTTAATCTGAATCAAAATATAAAAATATTTATCTCCATTTCTGCCTTAAATTTGGCCTCTAACACACTTTTGTCTAAAAATGTGGGAGAATATATTTAAAGATTGATTGATTGATTGATCCATCTATCCAACCATCTACTTATTTATTTATTTCTGGATCCAGCTTAAAATTCTGACTCTCTTGAACATTTTTTAGGTCAAAGGCTTGCTACCAAGATTGAAGGAAAAGGTCGATCTCCTTGTATTTAATCCTCCTTATGTAGTGACTCCACCTGAAGAGGTAAGACATACAACAAAATTGAATTACTTATATTTTCAGCTGTTTTCTATCTCAGATCAAATGTACTTCATTATATGACATCAGTCAGCTGCTAATAACAGACTGCTCTGATTTTACTCATGTGTGAAAGTGAAAGTCGCTCAGTCCTGTCTGACTGTTTGTGAGCCCATGGACTATATACAGTCCATGGAATTCTCCAGGCCAGAATACTGGAGTTGGTAGCCATTCCCTTCTCCAGGGGATCTTCCCAACCCAGGGACTGAACCCAGGTCTCCCGCACTGCAGGCAGATTCTTTACCAGCTGAGCAACAAGGGAAGCCCAAGAATACTAGAGTGGATAGCCTATCCCTTTTCCAGTGGATTTTCCCAACCCAGGAATCGAACCAGGATCTCCTGCATTGCAAGTGGATTCTTTACCAACTGAGCTATCAGGGAATCCTGATTTTACCCATAATTGTCAATTATTGAATACTGTTGGTAGACATAGGAAAGGAGTCTGAAATTAATGGAAATTCAAACTGTGATCTGTATCTAGTCTTTAAAATCCCATCCACATCAGGCCATGGTATTTAAATAGTATTTGTATGTATACCTTTATCATGAATAACAAGTTTGCAAAACAAAATACTTTAATCAGCCTTAAATTCACATAGGAATTATCTCTGAAAGTCTCAGGTTTGCTCCTTTCACAAGTATTTGGAAGTGGGGGAGGAGGAGAACCAATTCTCACTTCAGGTAGGAAAAGATACAACCTTGTAATACATGATTATAAAGTTTTCAGTAATGAAGAGGTAAACCATATTAGAAGTGTTAGGCACTCAGTCATGTCTGACTCTTTGTGACCCCGCAGACTGTAGCCCGCCAGACTCCTCTCTCCATGGAATGTCCCAGGCAAGAATACTGGAGTGGGTTGCTATTTTCTTCTCCAGGGGATCTTCCTGATCCAGGGGTCAAACCCCCGTCTCCTGTGCATCTTGCACTGCAAGTAGATTCTTTACCCTCTGTGCCACCAAGGAAGCCAGCCATATTAACCACTTCCCAATTTAAAGAAAGAATGGCCAAACCAGAAAAAAGTTTAATAATGGACTAAGGCCTGCTTTCCTTTGAATTATTATACCTATTTTATTCTTTGATTATCAGCAAGGCTGATAAATACTGCATTCCTCTCCACCACGATGGGAGAGGTCTGCACTGGTGCTGCCGCTCCTGCTGAGAAGCTGTTGCTCCCCTGACGTGAAATCATCTGAGAAGGAACGTCACTGTCATGAGGTGAGCAGCAGCTGAGGGAGATGCAGCTAATGAAACACACGCAGCTCAGGGAAGCCATGGAAATAAGTGTCAAGTAACAAAAACGGTCTAGTCCAGTCATCTCAGTCTTTGAGATGTCATTTAGGGAAATCATTAACAACAGAATGAAGTTGTAATTTACAAAGATATGTTTATTGCACCTTTATACATGATGGCAAATAATGAGCCTAAATATGTAACAGAAAAGAAACAAGTAAACCATGGTTTATCAGGCCCACAGACTGCTGAGAAGCCTAGTGAATGAAGAGAAGATTCTGGGAACTTGCTGACACGATTGGGCTTCCTTTCTGCCACACTCCTACTACTAAGCTATGTGTGTAATTATACAGATAGTTGAGTGTGGGCAGTGTCTTGGGCTTTGTCACCGTTCCAACAGAGAAAGCTAGTGTCATCCATTAGCAGAGCAGTTAGTAGGGTTAAAAGGCAGTGTAACAAAGATTTCATGGAGCTTAAAAACATGTTTTACAGTGTAAAACATTAGGAGACGAATTGAGAGACTATAGTCTCTGTCATGTCCTGAATCAGTGGTCTGGAAACCAAATGAAAACATTTTGGTTTATGAAGATGAATAAAATCATGAAGGTAAAAGTTAGGAAACTTAGAGATTAGATCCAGGAGATGTAACATACAAATACCAGGAGTTTGCACATATAAAAAGTTGTGTCTGTACTTACTATTCCATCCTTAAACGTGAGGTTAGATATTGTGGTTTGAACCGGTGACCTGTCAAGGATCAGGAGCAGGCAGTCAGCAGGCCACCAAAGGTGACCCTCCTCCCGAAGATGGGAACTCCTTTCTGTGGCCCGTGAGATTGTGGTTGGTGCCAGGCCATCCTCCTGAAGGGCCGTCTCCAGCGCAAGCAGACAGCTGGCTGAGCATCCCCGGAAGGCAGGTAGACAGGGTCCAGCGCCAAGGGCTCCTAGTCCACGCTAAACAAGGCCATCGCCATGCACGCTTTCCACGGAGCACTGCACCCTGTGAAACGTTCAGAGAGCGGGCGCCACAAGGCAAGGGAGGAAGCCAAGGAGGAGGAAGACATGAGCCCCACAAAAAGGGAGTGCTAGGAATGCTAGGAAAGAAGTCTCCAGGGGGACAGTCTGATTAGAACAGAGGAACTGATCAATTGCCTTCTGTGATTAACTGTGGGAAATTATACGGAGAAGCTTATGGTATGTATAAGAATAATTTAAATTAAATACAAAAAAAATTAAGCAAATGGACATACTGAATGCCCAGCAATAGCTCAATAAGAAATGATACTTTTACACTGTAAAATATTATGTAGCCATTAAAAAGGAAATTTAACTATACCCGTTCACACGAAGAGATTTCTGTACAGTATTGTTGAGTGAGAAAAGCAAGATATAAGTAAGAATGTAGATACAATCCTATCTTTGTAGAACATGGAAAAAAAAGAAAAATATGTGTGTGTGTGTGTAGAAGATGGGAGGGGAACAGACAAATAAAACTGTAAAAGGGGAAAAGTACAGTTTTTTAAAACTGTATGAACATACGTCTCTTTAATTATACATGAACATAGTTATAGGTATAAAGAAATTATTTATGCCTTGACAAATGAATAAAACTAAAGTGTGCAACTGTACATAGATAATTTAAACTGAAATATGGACAAAGACCATTAAAGGGATTAGGAAGAAAATAATTATATTAGAGTTTAAGTAGTTTTTCAGTGATTTCTTCAATATATTCTTTAGTTTTAGAAATGATATACAGTGGTAAGGCTCTAAAGATTTTTAATGCTATATAAACTCTCAAGGTTTTGTTTCTATAATAAGATTGTTATAGGAAAAAGTGCTTCCTTATACCTTTATATGATAAGTGGCTTCCCAACAAAGGACTGTGATACTCTGAGTAATCTAGAAGAGTGCCAGCTGCAGTGGGACGTAGTCAAACTTTGTTTCTGTGAAGTAGATCTTTCATAATACAAGTTCTCCCATCTAGTTTCTTCCTGATTGTTCTGTATTAAATAGAATAATTTAAATGTGTTGATGTTAACAGCTGTTATTAAGCCACATTATTACATGCAGGGCACTGTTCTCAAACTTTAAATATACTTCCTCATTTATTCCTAATGGACAAAAAGACTTTTTTTTAATCATTTTCCTAACTGTGTACAGATAAAAGTGTTACTTTCCTAATTTTACAGATAAGAAAGGAAACTAATTCATCAAGATTAGAGACGAGGTTACACATGCTAGGAAATGGTGGGGCTCAGATTCAACTTTACCACCACCTCCTCATCAGCCGTAAAATACGAAATACATACCTGTTTGGTCAGCGAAGCTTTTCAAAAAGATTCCATTGTCTTGTGTGTGTGTGTAGCTTAGAGCAGTCTTTCTCATTGGGTGCAGGTCGGGAGTCACGGGATACAGGCGGCTTGGGCTGGTGGGAGAAGCGGTCGTGAAGTCATCGACAGATTCTTACCACTGGCTCCAGATCTCCTCTCACCAAGAGGATTGTTCTATTTAGTCACCACTAAAGAAAACAATCCAGGTAATACAGACCATTTTATCTTTTAACCATTACCTTAGCTGAAATCAAGGTTAATTGTGTCAAAGACTGTAATTAAGGAACCCAGAATGTTAATGAATGTTGTTGCTGACAACTGCTAATACAGACATAGCATTCATGTTGAAAGAGAAGAGAGGTTTTTAAGAGGTAGATTTTTCCGATTTTAAAGAATATTGTCTTTTTGAGGGGGTTTCCCCTGATTTTTTTAAATTAATACTCAGAGTCTGTAATTTCTTCTTCTACACCTCACCTTCAGTACTGTGAATTTTATTTTCTAGTCTTTATGTCATTGGCAGTTCTGCTGTGTATTCTTTAGTTCATCTGAAGTTTTATCATGAAAACTATCCCCTGATATTGATTTTTATATCCTGGCTTTAAGATTAGTTGGTAACTAAATTGACTGTAATCTTTCTTCTCTTTTCTGTACATCTCAGGTTTGATTTTTATGTGATACGTTGTGTTCTCAGACCCTCAGATCACATCATAATTTCTAGTGTTGTTGGTTTGGTTGGGGAGGGTGTTGTGTGTGTGTGGTTTTGTTAGGTTTTTTTTTTTTTTTTGGTAACTCCAGTTTCCTGCTTTTGTCTTTGAGGTGTTAAATATTAACAAAGGGAAGGTTTTACTTTTTTCAATATTCCTGAAAAAAATAAGCTACTTCGTTTACTGCCACTTTTCAACGTCAGCGTATGATTCGCCCATACCCTTGTTGGCATTTTTCATGCAGAAGGAGGAACACGGGGCAGAGATTAGAGCCAGGCAACTAAAACATGAATCACTTTTTGTAATGCCCAGTGTAACTCATGTTTCTGTTGAGTCCAGAGCAGGTCACCACTGCAGTGCAGTCACTCACTCGACTAGAATTCTCAGCAACGCCCTGAACACAGAGTGCGTTCATCTGTCTGAAGGCCAAATTCACTTTAATAGAAATCACGTGGTGTACACTGTTTTCTCGTAGAATTTGTAGTCTGTTTATCATCTTACTAAACTGTTTAGTGATCATGCACACTTCACCAAATGATTTAATTGGATTTTTTCTTTTGTTTTAATTCTCATTTTAGAAGAAATTTTGAATATAATGAAGACCAAAGGTCTACAAGGGACCACTGCGCTTTCCAGGCGAGCAGGCCAGGAAATCCTGTCGGTCCTGAAGTTCAGCAGGCCCTGATCTGCGCTGTGTGCTACGTAAAGCAGGATGCTTCTGGCATATGTGAAACTGAAAGTTTTTTCTTTGTTAACAAGTAAAATTGCCAGAAATTTGTTACGTAGACAAAGGCAGGCAAGTGGGGCATTTCCTTTTACCCAGCAGTCAGGCCTACAGGAATATTTGCACAAATGCAAGTAAATATATATATATATATTGAATTTCACATATGTATTATATGTAGAGAATATATAACGAAGAATTATACTTAATTATATGTGAAGAGGATGTTCACTTCAGTGTTACTCATAATGGCAGAACAATGAAGTTAAATGTCCATCAGCAAACGGATTGGTAAAATAGAGCACAGTATTTTCATATTACTAAACATCTCCAGCCATTAAACATGAGTCACGTCTGTATACACTCAACCAGAAGGGTTCGTTATAGGCTACTGATCAGTGAAAAAAAGCAAGTTGTAAAATAGTGTTAACCTATGTGTATATTTTTTAAAAACTAATAACCAAGAAGGTTTGTGTTTTATGTGTATATGAGAAATTCTCCAAAGGCACAGGTGGGAATAGAGGAACCTTCATTCTTTTGTGCTGGCGTTTGTACAGTGATAATCTGTTCTATAATGAAACAGCTTTTTATATAAAAGTTTTTCAAGTTCACCTTCCCATGCTTATTGTCTCCATTCTCTTCTATCGTTTAGAGCAGCTTCTGCCTCCATCCTTCTCCCTGGTCACATTTCTCCCACTGTTTATCCTCTATCATATATTTCTATTTTCTTCTTAGATATTGCAAACTGCTCTTATTTTTTTTCCTTAGATCAGGGAGAGTTGTATGTAAATAAACTCAACACTCAGATTAATCACGTATGTAAGAGCCTAGGGCAACCCACTCCAGTATTCTTGCCTGGAGAATCCCAGGGACGGCGGAGCCTGGCGGGCTGCCATCTAAGGGGTCTCATGGAGTTGGACATGACTGAAGCGACTTAGCAGCAGCAGCAAGAGCCTAGGGGTCCTTGGTGGACCAGTGGTTCAGAATCTGCCTTCCAGCACAGGGGACGCAGGTTCGATCGCTGGTCAGGAAATTAAAGGTCCCACATGTCATGGGGCAGCTAAGCCCGTGCACTGCAGCAAAAGAAGCCCGCACGCCACGACTCGAGAAGCCCGCGTGCCGCAAAGAGCAGCCGGCATGCCTGCCCACGAGCTGCGCCAGAGACCCAGTGCAGCCAACATGTAAATAATAGATAAAGAGGTTTTTTTTTTTTTTAAAGAGTCCTCATGTATCTTTCAAGAAATGTCAAATTACCTTAACTAAGTTTAGGAACCTCTTCTGTAACTCCCCCCACCCCCATTTAAAATACGCAGTTGCCCCTCGAACAACATGGGTTTGAACTGTTCAGGTCCACATACTCTTGCATGATCTGTTCCAGTAAAGACACCGCAGTGCTTCACACTCCGTGGTTGGTTGAATCCGTGGAGGCCATGGAGGGGCTGGCTGTAAAGTTACACGTGGATCTTTGATGTGCAGAGGGTATCAGTGCCCTAACCCCTGGGTTGTTCAATGGTCAACTGTATTTATGAAAGTCAGTTAGCAGGCCTGTAGACCAGAGTGAAAGGAATCTAGAATTTATTTTTAATTTGGTTACATTCAGAATCACCTGAGGAAGTTTAAAATTATATAATCTTAAACCCCACCATCAACCCATGGAATACTCTGCTTACCAGACCTGAACACTTTTTTTTTTTAAACTGTACTACTTGGGACTTCCCTGGCATTCCAGGGGCTAAGACTCCATGCTCCCATTGCATGTGGCCCGGGTTCAATCCAGTCAGGGAACTGAGATCAGATGTGCTACACGGTGCGGTTGAAAAAAACCCAGAAAATACTTCTCAACATTCTTTGAGGCAGCCTAACTTTACAACTGTTATTTAAATAGCATTCTCACTGAATTCCTTAGCGTGCATGCTCAGTCGTGTCCGACTCTTGTGATCCCAGTGACTAGCCCACCGGCCCCTCTGTCCATGGGATTTTCCAGAGAAGAATGCTGGAGTGGGTTTCCATTTCCTGCTCCACAGATTCTTCCTGACCCAGGGGTCAAACCCATGTCTCCTACGTCTCCTGTATTGGCAGGTGGATTCTTGACCGCTGAGCCACCTGGGAAACACCTTAGTCCTTAGGACAATCCACAGAAAGAAAAATCATCCTCCTTTGATGTTCAAAAAGGTTAAATAGCTTGCTCAAAGAGACACAGTCATAATGGGTGAAAACAGTATGGCAACATTTCAGACACAGGTCTGACTCTAAAATGGCATTTCCTCTGCTTATGCTACTTTGAGCAGCAAAAATATAATTAGTATTTACTTAAATATGATATCCATACATAAATTTCCATTCCCAGAAATAGTGTCATCTGAATAATATCTTATCATAAATGACCTATTGTATCCCAGGAGGAAAAAAAAAAGTTAAGTAACCTTAGAAATTTATTGTGGGCTTTCAATCATAGTTTTAGGGAATAAAGTCTTGAATTTTTTTTTCAAATAATGTTTGAAACACTTTTAAAAATTTATTTTTTAATTGAAGGATAATTGCTTTACAGAATTTTGTTGTTTTCTGTCAAACATCAACATGAATCAGCCATAGGTATACGTATGTCCCCTTCCTCTTGAAACACTTTTAAAGTAATATGGAAGACATCTATCAACATAGGTGACTAAACATAGAAATACTATGTAAAAGACACCAAAGATTTCACATGTATGGCTGTTACTGACTGAATTGTTCTTCCATCCACCCCAACACTCACCCACCTCCACCACCACCAAATTCATATGTTGAAGCCCTATCCCTTATACCTCAAAATGATTATATTCAGAAATATATAGAGAGGTAGTTATATAGAGAGGTAACCTTTAGAGAGGTAGTTAAATAAAATGAGGCTATCAGGATAGGCCCTGATCCAATCTGACTTGTGTCTTCCCATGAAAAGGAGAAAAGATAGCCGGGATGCTTGCACACAGAAGAAAGGCCATGTAAGGACTCAATGAGAAGGTGGCCACCTACAAGCCAAGGAAAAAATGCCCGAGCAGAAACCAACCTGCTGATGACTTGATCTTGGATTTCCAGAACAGTGAGGAAATAAATGCTCTCAAAGCACTTCAGCCTGTGTTATTTTGTCATGTCAACCCTAGCAAGCTAATAGCTAAAGACAGAATTGCCCACATTCTGCAAATAGTTAAAGTGGAAAAACAAAAAATAGAATTGGTCTCCCAAGGAACACAGATACTGGAATTGTTATATAGAATGTTAGAAATGTTTAAAGAATTAACATAATCAAAAAGAAAACCACACAAACAGATCTGTTTGGAATGAACAAATTTATGGCAGCTTTTAAAAAGGAGGAATAGAATTCCTGAAATCAGAACCACTAAGGAGAGCGTAAAAAAGTAGCTTAACAAGAGAATTAATGAAATTCACAAAATGCAGCTCAGAGGGACAAAAGAGAAAGTATGAAGGAAAAAAGAATAATTTTGGAGGATAGAATGAAAAGGTCTAGCAAAACAATTCCAAAAAGAATGTAAGAGACAGGCTATCTGGAAAGGTAATGGCTAATGTTTTTCCAGAACTGATATTTTAGAAAGAAGATGAAAAAAGCAGATGAAATCCACACCTATTAATAGATACATAGTAATGATATGCAAAATATCAAAGGCAAAGAGATCTTAAGAGGCAATCAGCAGAGGTTGGCACACTAAAGTTTTAGGGCACATCCTCACCCGTTCACTTCCGCATTGCCTGTGATTGCTCTGGCCTTCAGTGCAGTGTTGAGTAACTGCAACAGAGACTGCAGAAGCCATAGGGCCCACGGACCACAAAGTGTTTACTATGTTCCTTTAATATGTTTGCCAAAACCACTGCCATGAAGGAACTCTAATTAGAACAACAGAGTTCTCGAACATGAACATGTAAGCCAGAAGCCAATGGAGTAAGATCTTCACAATGTGGAGAGGAATGGTCCACCTACTGTGTTCCCAGCAAAACTCCCGACAAATGAGGTTTTAAAAAGGAATGTTTACAGGTAAAAATGAAGGAGTTTACTAAAATGCGATCTCAGTAAAGGAACTCCTAAAAATGTATTTCAGAAAAAAGGAAAAAACTAACAGTTACTATAGTTTAAGTGGCTTGAAAGTTGAAATAAATACTGAACAGTTGCTTGTAAATTAGAGCACTTTGATTAGAATGAAAGTGTTCTAAATTCTTTGCAACGTTCAGAAGGTAAGTTCAGTTCAGTTGCTCAGTCGTGTCCGACTCTTTGCGATCCCATGGACTGCTGCAGGCCAGGCCTCCTTGTCCATCACCAACTCCCACAGTTTACTNCCATAAGTGTGATGTCATCTGCATATCTGAGGTTATTGGTAAAGACAGTACTTAATATGTCTGTGTGGTAAGTTGAGTAATAGCCCCCAAAGATATCCATGTTCTAATCCCTAGAACTCTGTAAATATTACTTTATACGGCAAAAGGGACTTGGCAGAAGCAACTAAGAATTCTGAGATGGGAAGATGATCCTGGATTTTCCAGGTTGCCTCTCAGTGTAATCACAAGTGTATTATAAGAGGCAGAGGGAGATTTTACTACAAAAGAGGGGAAGGTATTATGACAACGCTGCTGTCTTTGAAGATGGAATAAGGGACTGTCAGCCAAGGAGTGCCAGGGACGAGCCCTGGAATCTAGAAAAGGAAAGGAAATGATTCTCCCCTAGAGCCTTTGAAGGGCTTGAAGCCCTGCTGTCACCTTGATTTTGGTCCAGAAAACCCCATTTCAGACTTGTGGCCAACAGAACTGCAAGCAAATAAATTCCTGCTGTTCTCAGCCACTAAGGCTGTGGTGATTTGTTCCAGCAGCCTTGGGAGACTGATACATTATGGTCAAAGTTCAAGGGTAACTACCAAAATAATAGAAACAGGAGAGGAAACAGCAAATTATAAAACAAAAGCCTCAATTAATGCTCTAAGACATCACCTTTTGGTCTTTCTGAGCTCTCAGTAATAACTTTAACTTCATTTTAGGCCCTGAATTTGATTTTTGCATAAGGCAGCAAAGTGAAAACAATTGAGGCTGAGTCTCACTGTCATTCTGACAGATCTTTAAACTCCAAGTACATTGGCTTAACTCATCGGCATAGGCAACAGAACTGGCAAGAGGACCTCACGATTTAAGTGAAGAGTGGGAAAGGAGTGTGAAGTACAGTCACCAGAGAGACTGGTTTCCATCCTACAGGCCTTGGCGGTGGGTCCTACAGAAACACTCCTGCAAATGGGCCCTTACAACGTTTGGGGTGTGGACTATCGCATGAAGACCCATTGGCTCCAGTAAGCCAGACTAATGGAGGTTCCGCAGGGATACTGCAGGACCCAGCACTGCCCAGAAGTGTAGAAGGATTGGCATGTTTACCCTACTTGAAAGCTAACAGGTTAATCTGACACAGTTTCACTGTTGGCAGACGAAGGCAGGCTTTCTGGATCAGAGACAAAGAAGTTCATTACTCAGCATAGCATCATCAACATATTTTCATCGGCTTCCCCGTGCCCCTGAGCCCCATAGGAGCACCATGGAGCCCCAGACGGGTACCTGCATACACAGTGGGTTGCATTATAGGAGAGAAAG